GATGGCAAAACTCCCATCACAGTTAATGAAGTGTTAAAACCTTGCCTCTCAGTGGCCTGCCAGTGCATGCAGGATGCTAAATATGCTGTAGAATGACTGTAGCATATGGGGCTGCAGCCTCCCAGTACCCAAGCCACTTAAAGTATTAACCTGACTCACTCTTTGTCGTTCTTTGTATTTTACAATAAAAGCCTTTGCTGCTTCCATTACAAATGGTGAAACCATTGCAAATTCAATATGAAGTCGCAGTAAACACCTGGGGTAAATGTGTGTTGAGGGAGATGATGCCTCCTATAAATGCAAAGACTTGGAGGGGAGTCACAAGTAAATGCTTCACCCTTTCTTCCTCCTTGTGATTCAAGTGAGTAAATCTCTACAGGTAGCTTCTGCTAAGTGATTTTGTATCATTTTTTTACCTTCACCGCTGAACACCAAAGACACAGAAGTAGGGTGCAGCATGCTGGAAGATGGAAACACTGTGGGCTAATTTTTGCTTTGGACTGTACAACCAAAGGAAAACAAAATGAAAAAAAAAAACCAAAAACAAAAGTAAAAATAAAAACAACAACAAACAAAACTAAAGTAAATTTTAAGAACCATTCTGATTTTTCCTCTCATGGTTACCTGAAGATTCAGTTCAAGAAGGTTTGTGCTGCTGTTAGTCACAAAGACCAAAGAGCAGGGAACACAGGTTGCCGTGTCTGATGGAAATGGCCATGGGCCAATTGTCTTCCCTATGGCAAGAAGTGTTTGGGATTAGGGAAAACTTCTAAAAGCATGGATAATTTTAAGCACAGCGCCAGGATCCCACAGGAGATGGAGACGGACGATGGCGATCTCACCGAAACTCGCACCCGCAGTAGTTTGGCTCCGGTTCCACCAGCTTTGGGACTGAGAGGGAGACTAGATGCAATAGCAGAGGGTTCAAAAGAAGCGGGAGCGGGCTCTGTTCCCCTCCCGCCCCTCTGGCCGCTGCAGCTGCGGCAGCGCTGTCAGACTTTCCTTCCCCGAGCAGCGGGAGCGGCCGTGACTCAGCCGGCCGGAGTCAGAGCCGCTCCCGGCAGCGCGGCTCTCGGCATCCCCCGAACTCCTTCCAAAGCCGGCCCGTGCTCCTTGCGACTGCAAACCGCGCGGGGAAGAAGTGGGAGGTGCTCCGACACTCGGAAACTTCGGCAGCATTGATGGGAAAAACCGGGGTGTTTCCCAGATTCGTGGCTGCCAGCAGCTGGTGAAAGTATTTCGTAGGGACCTAAGGAAGGGAATAGTCCTGCTCCTCCTGGGCATTGCTATTTACAAGGAGTACAATTTTTTTCCTCACTGAGCTTTGCAAAATGTTAAATCACAAAAAAAAAAAAAAAAAAAAAAAAAAAAAAAAAAAAAAAAAAAAAAAAAAAAAAAAAAAAAAAAAAAAAAAAAAAGGGAAAAAATTAAAAAATAAGCAGAGACTGCTCACAGATGTAACAGACCTAAATGAGTTCAAAACAAACTGTGCTTTAGGTACATGAGCTCTATGTAAATGCTGAGTGCTACAGAGCCAAAAGAACTTGCCATACTCGCAGGTCCACCTCCCCCAGGACCCACTATCTGTCAGGGGTAAGCAGCAATGAAAGGAGATCAGAAATAGAACATCCCCACAAGTGTCTCTCCAACCACCAGGGCTTTGAGAGCTTACTAAGCTGAAAATTACAGTCAGACTCCTTTGTACAGTAGA